CACTTCCAGAAGAGTAATTCTTGAAACTTTATGTTCGAAGATTTCTAACCTTTGGAGAGGATTAATATATTATTTGGTGATTTCTCTTCCAGCCGGTTCTCTAAGGAATTACAGCTTCATTCAATCAATAAATAGTTTCAAGACCCTTTCTTCAACCATTTTCAGGATAATCAGTAACAAAGAAGCTTATTACTGTGCTTGGGATAAGATCTTCTTCAACCTTAAAGAGAAACAAAACCAATATAAGAGGGGAGAAGGAAGAGCTTCAAACTTCTTCTTTATAAAGCAGATGTCTCATCACCTTGCTCTTTCTGTTAGAACCAATCGCATCATCAGATTTAATGTTATGTAAGATGGAACACGTGAAAGTTACATGTCTTGTTTATATTTTTTGTTACATGTAGATCAACCAGTCCTAAATTCGAGCCAATTATTATTCAAGAATTCTGGTATAATCAGAAATTCAAGGTTAAACCAAGGTGGATAAAATTTCTCAGAAAAACTATGAAAAAGTTTACATGCTTGAAAAGATAGAAGGAAGCTTGAGGAAGATGAGAGAAAAGTTCTAAAAACTGTAACAGTCTTTTCTAAAGTCTTGAATTTCTAAAGAAAGAAAGGAGTGTGTTTTTTCTACATGTTCTTTTTCTTAATAAAGTTTTCTTGCCTTTAACTTTATAGGTAGGTTTTTCTTATATTTACTTGCAGAAATACAAGAAGTTTATGTCAAAGAAAGAAAGGAACAAGTGGAGGAAACTATAGTCTCTTGGTGTGAGTATTGTTAATAAAAGTGTATAGACTTTATTACAAAGAAATATAAAAATTTTCTTGGAATGTCTGTTTTTTGTATTGATAAAGGGATCAGTGGAATTTATACAATTATTGAATAGGAAAAAAATTATAATGAGAATATATACTTTCTAGTAAACATTTTAAAAATATATTTTTTAATTAATATTTGCTATCAAATTTAAAAATTATAATGGTTAAATAAGATACAACTCTAGAATCTTCTAATAGACATTTTAAAAACTCTTGGTTAAATTAAACTATCAAATCTAAGAATACAAGTATTAAGTAAAATATAACTTCTATATACAAAAACTATTTAAATATTCTTCTATTTAATTTGTATATTAATATTTATATTATACAATCTTTTTAAAAATAGTTTGTATTATATTAACATATTATATAATAGAGTTTGTTATATCAAAAAAATATGAATTTATAATGAAAATTAAATTAGAAGTTTTTTTTTATGTAATCTTATGGTCCTGAAAATTGGAATCAAATAGACTTGCGTAGACTCATATAAGGTTTAGAACACTATTAAAAATGATAGTGAGTTATAATTCATATAATAAATTTAATATAAATTTGAGAATAAAAAATCAAATTAAATCAAATTATTAAGATCCTTATATAATTTTTTATACTTTGATTTATTTTTAATTTGCAATTATTAAAAAGATTAGAGATTTTATTTTTATGCAATTTAATTAATTTTTGATAAGAATATATAATTAATTAAATATGACATATATTGAAAGCTAATTAACTAATTATAAAAATAATAAATTTTGTAATCAGATAGATTTAATCTTTAGATTTTTCTCTAATAACCTATAGAATATTATTACTGTACTATGGACTTATATATTATTTTTAAAATAAATTTAGATAAAATAATTATTGTATTTTTATATATAATAAAATAATTCCAATTTAATATTTTGGATATCTTATTAATTTTATATTATTTTTAAAAAATAAATATATCAAATTTCAATTATAATTAAAAAATTGATCTGTATAATATAGTTATATAATTAGATATATAATTATTTCTAGATAATTAGATATCATTTAATATTTGAAATTTATTTTATTATATTTTTGAATAATATTAAAGATATAAATAAATAAATAAATTTTTTGTCTTGTATTAAACTTCTTCAAATAAAAAAAGATATATATTATCTGAAAAAAATCATAATCTTGTTTTGTTCAAGCTTAAAATTATAATAAAGTAATAAAAGTATAATAATAATAATAATAATTTATGAAATAATAATAATAATAAAATAAATCCAAAAAAATCCAAAAAAAATCTTTTTAAAATGATATTGACAAAGATAAGATTGTTAAAGGTAAGCAACAAAAAAGCTCAAGAAATCGAAATACAATACAAATTATAATTATAATTATAATTTACTCTAAATGCTCTAATAAACCGAGAATGTTTTATTAATATAAAAAAATAATTTATCTATAAATTATTTACATAGTATAAATATGACAATTGATCACTTTTCTCTACAATAGGAAATCGAATCTATCTTATAAACAATAATTAAACCCAATTTTTTCGAATTCGTACCATTTTACAAAATAAAATTACATTTCTTTCTATTCCCCAAAATAGCTGCCAGTGTAGACACTCACATCTACACTATGAATGCTCCTTCCATCATCATTTCCGTCCCCATCGAGTTCACTATCATACTCAATATTATAATTACAGTTAACATCACTATTTATAAATTCGTCAGTTGTACCGTTTATTTTTACGAAGTTTGTATTAACGGCAGGATGTTCATTATAGTCTAAATATAATTGCTTTAGAACAGAACAACGTGAGGATCTCAGAGGATTTATTGTTGGCTGAGATCTTTGAGATTCTATACGCTGATGACGTCGATTATTGAGACTAACGTGAGTTTGGTTCTGGATGTGAGTGAATCGAGCTGGTGGGGTCGACGGATTCTGGGGAGAAGAGTATTCACGTTGTTGCGATAACAGCAAATTAGGGTTGTGGAAAGCAAAATTGGTTGTTTCGATGGGAGTTTTCAAAGGAATAGGTGTGAAATGAGGATACCCCATTATTGAGGATATAGAAGTTCTCAGTACAGACGATTCATCACACTCTGTACATGCAGGTTTCTCATGTCCTACAGATATTTGCGACCTTGGGATAAGCAGTTGTTCAAATGAGTTCGCGAATGACCATTCAGCATTTTGCTGTTGGATTGTGAGTGGTAATCTTGGAACAAATGGTGTATATTCTCGGTGACTTGCTTGTGGACGTGAAGTTGCTTTTTGATGGATTGGTATGACTGTACGAACAAAATGTCCTACAGAATTCATCGCTTTTACGCTTGATTCCAAAAAATTAAACATTTGAAATGCGTGAACCATATCTTTATTTTGGATGTTACACGTTATGAAGTAGAATATTTAATGAGCAATGTTAAAGATGAATTACCAATTTTAAAAAAGGAAAGTTGACAAATAAACGCACTCACCTTCATACACTTCATGTCGGACAAATGTAGTCCCTGTTTCAGAAGCCTTATGAGCCAACAAATAAATCTCATCCCTCAATACTTCGGAATCTCCGCATTGAATCAATAGAGGAGGTAGATTATGCAAATCGCCAAATAATGGGGATACATAAGGATGAGTGATTAGTTTCGA